AAGTGCAAGCGAAAAATGAAAAAGTGCAAATTTTACACTTTGCACGTTAAGACCACTTTTTATTTGAACCATCCTATATATATTTCGCTATCTTACGTAATGCTCTCTAACTTTTTTTATATTTGTGCTGTCGTTCGGTTATGGAAAAATAAAGTCTAGATCGAATAAGAAACATGCTCACCTGTTACTCTGCAACCCCACGTCACAATAATTCCACTCTTTTGCTTTTAGTTTCATTTTTTTTTATCTAGCTGTCGGTGTTTGCGCTCCCCTAATCCTGAAATATACGAAGTATCCTCTAAAGCCTCTAGACAGGTAAATCCGGATCTGATCACACACAGTCTTGTCAGTACTGACTCCAAAGGACGAATCGAACTGGGCTTATATACATCACCATTCAGGTTGCTCCTCTTACCACACGAACCCGCTACCTTTATTATCATCCTCTCCTTTCTCAGTCGTTGAGCAACTCCGTGAAGGTAGAAAGAATCATTAGGAGCAAGATCTCGCTCCTCTCCCCTAATGTGCCTAGCGAGATTCAAACCCGAGACCCCAGCTAGGACACGGTAACCTCTCATCCACTTTGATTTATATTGTGAATATAAATACACAATTATCATTACGAGGCAAGTGTTACAAATAGACTTTTTTTAATTAAAGGGTGCACCTCGTCATGAGGCATTCACTATCGATCGGACAGTTAACTGATAGGATGTAAATTTAGCTTTAATCACAAGCAGATTGCGAGTAGGGCTAATTAAATGACAAGGAAAAAGGGAAAAGAAAGCAAAAAAGAAATGAAAGCAAAACACAAGAAATTGAAACCTTGAATTTCGTTTATAATATGAATCTCAGATTCATTCCGTTATTTTCAGCAGTGAACCCATGCAATTTTTAACACGATTTTCATAATGAGTCATCCGGAAACGATCTTTATGTGCTTTGTAAAGAGATAAGTTTGCTTATATCTGACCGCCCTTACTTCACTGTAGGTGGAGCCTTTGCGGTATTAGAGTAATGATGATGATGGCTAGATTAATTCTGTATTTGTAAGTTTCTATGTCTTGTAATTATTTATTTAACCTTATTGTTTTTATTCTATTTTTTGATGTTTTATCTATAAGTTATAACTATTAGTTAGATATTCGAGAAATCTTCAGGTTCGGAATTCCAAACCAGAATCGCCGTCCGGACGGTGGCGTTTGGGCCACTTTCCGGTAGAATTTTTTGATGAAATGTTTTAGGCGAGTTCTTCATTAAGTTTAGTTTATCCGCAAAAAAATCAGCTAAAAAATTAATCTGGGAAAGGCAGTCAAATATTATTTGGAATAAAATTGCGTTTTCATATATGTATATTTTGGCATAGTTGTTTTCCTAAAATTATTTGACTGCCTTCCCGATTGAATTTTTATCTGAATTTTTGTGTGGATAAAATAGACTTGATGAAAAACATGACCAAACATTTTCATTAAATAATTCCACCGGGAAGGTGCCCAAACGCCTCCTTCTGGACAACGGTTCTGGTCAATAAGGCCTGACCGAAAGACTACTCTTAGATATTCTACAAAAAACTATTAATTAAATAACATAATTTTTTATTGTTATAAATTACAAAAATATTAAATACTTCATTAATTAACGCAACATTATTTGTTCTTGTAGCTTCAAATGAATTTCTACTCAATTCTTCAATACTCTCATTATATATAGTCCATCCGTTCTCTAATATTTGACTCTCTTTCCATTTTGGATGTTCTCTATTAGTTATCTCTTTTTCCACTTTTGGTAAGTTTTTTCAATAAATATACTTATTTATCCTCATTCTCTTTCCTACTTTTTCATTCTCTTTCCTACTTTTACTTTTACACACAATCTACTACACCTTTTATCCTACCCCTATTAATATCTTCTTAAATCTTGTGAAACAATTGTGCAACGGAATCTCCAACTTTAACGGAATCTTCAACTTTATCTTAAATGAGAGCTTTAGAGAAAATAATAAGTGAGGTAGTGAGAAGCGGGGTTGGTCCATATCTGTGAACATCGAAAGAGCATAAAGGGATAAAGGTTCGGAGCGCCACACTCCAACTTTTTCGGCCCACCCTCCCTCTCTGTCTCTCTGACACTAATACGCAATTGCCGAATACAATCGTGTCATGTCTCGACCCAACCCCCACTACTCACTCCCCAGTCTCAAATTATTTGCATTTTAACAACTCCCTTCTTAGATATTTCCAATACTACGATGTATACGTTTAGGGTTTAGGGTTTAAGGTGCACATGAGACATGAAAGATAGATACAAACAATTAAATTTATGACTTTTCTCTTTCTTTCTTTTCACGATTTTGCGTGTTTTTAGTATTTTTTTCAACAATGTCAACCACAATGTCTATATCTAGACATTGTTTTTGAAATTGTGGAGAAAAACTTACCAAAAATATATAAGACCGTCCAAATAAGGAGAGAGATATTCTATTCGTTATTTTTTAATTAGTTATCTCTCATGTCACGTATGCATCGTATATAAGGCTTCTTCACACAGAAAAAAGAGAGAGGATATAAATCAGAATTTAATCACGAGCTAACAGATAGAGAGTGAGACTCCGGTCCTGATACTTGTTGAAAAGTTATATTATCATGAAAAGTCATATTATTGGATACTTCCTCCATCCTTTATAACTTTGCCAACTTTCCTTTTTTGAATGTCTCATTAACTTTGCCATTTTCCCTTTTAAATAGAGAATTTATGGTTCCAGTTAATTCTCTCTCTTCTGCACAAATCTCAACCACACAGTTTTTACTTTATTAATCCCCGTGCCGGTCAAATTTGGCAAAGTTATTAGGAACAGAGGGAGTATGTTAGTTCAAGAAAAGTCACATTATCATGAAAAGTTTACACAATATTACAAGGCTCGTTTAGTTCAAGAAAAGTCTTATTATCATAAAAATGTTAAATTGTTGGATATGTTAGATTGATAGAATGTATTTAATCTATTTCCTTCGTTCCTTAAAATTTTGGCAACTTTTTTTGTTCTTGTCTCATTAACTTTGTTACTTTCCTTTTTAAATAAAGAATTTGTGGTTCCAGTTAATTTTCTCCCTTCTACATAAATTTCAACCACCTAAATTTTACTTTATTAATCCCCGTACCGGTCAAATTTGACAAAGTTTAAGGGACATAGTGAGTATTTCATATTATGTATGTGTTTGATTAAGATTAAAGGAATGAAGATATAGTTCATCTCGGCCCTTAAGGTCATCGTACTCTTTAACACTTCAACAAATTCAAAATGGCCGAAAGTCCTCTCAGTCCCTGATCAGACATAGAGAAGTCCACCAAAAACTAGGGTTAGCACGAATCTAAGGTTTCCCGTTTCGTACAAAAAACAGTCCCAAATTGTACCTGAACGGAACGAACCAGAAAATAGAATATCTATCGTATCGAACGTTTTTTAGTAATATGGTATGGTACCCAGTGGCGGATCCAGGATCAAAACTGATTGGGGGCAGTCGGGCAAGGGTAAATAAAAAACGCATTAGAAATAATAATAATAATAATAATTGATGGAGTATATGGCCCAGAAACCCTCAACCCACATACTCCCACTACTACAAACAGACCCAACAGGCTCAAGTGCCCCAAACACAGCAGACAAGAGTTCGGGCAGCCCATGCTATACAGGTAGAGCCTTCAGTCCCATGACCGAAGGCTTCATATTCAGGATTGGACTTGGCAGACAGGTGTAGGAGAAGGACTTGGACCCTGGTAGGATTGGACTTGGCTGTCGATAGTTGTAGGATTTTAGGTGTAGTAGAAGGATATAATAGAGTAATAGACATTCTATTTATGTTTTATTAATTAATTTTATTTAAGGGTTGTGAATAACAATTGTGTGTCTGCAGTTAGAATTATCCAAGGAATAAACATCAACAATATTTTTCAAATTTATCTTGATGTAAACCAAAAAACACAATCTTTCATTAATTTTAACTAGAGATGAGTATAAAAAGCGATTCACGATTCTGCGCAAGTTCAAATAAGAGTTTGAGATTCATTTTTCACAAAGTGGACACGTGTTTTCAATTTGGAAGTCTCCGTCTACTCCGTAAAAAAGAAAGCGTCATCAATGTATAAAAAATTGACATGTCACGATCTTTTTGACAGAGTTCACACGAAGGCCTCATGTGTGTTAATAGATTGAAAACACGTGCCCTAGTTTGTGGAATTGAATCACATACCCTTATTTGGAAGTGATTACAACCACAATTAATCACCTTTTTATATTTTCCCTTATAATTAATAGCTTTGAGTATTTAATTATAATAGTACTTAATAAAGTCATGGGTTGCAACTAAATAAGAGCATATGCATATCTCTCACATTTTTTAAAAGAATGAAATGTCTTTATAACACGTAATTCTTAATTTCGCGCAATGAGTTGTGTAATGACTAAAGTAAAATTAGATTTATTTTTCTGACAGAATTGATTGAAATTGATGAAGCGGAGTATTTTAGTTATGTTTGTCTAATTTTTTCTTTGTTTTCTTGATAAAACGTGTTTTAAATATAGGTTTTCACAACTCAACAATTCGATTTAGTCAATTTAATCATTTCACAAATTTCAACCTGAAGTTTATTCATTTAAAAAAATCATCCTACTCGCCCAATTTCAAATTAAAGATCGTTTGGTAACACGAAAATCGGCTGATTCTGCTGAAATTTATGAAGTTATGACTGAATAGGTTGGATGAGCTGATTTTGCTGATTTAAGGGGGAAAACTTTAAAATAGATTTTATTAATAAAATAAAGAGAGAATTATATGTAAAAATAGTTAAAATGGTCATCTACAGTAACTTCAACCAATACAGCAAGAAAAATAACTGAAACCTTATTTTTTTCTTGTTATTAGACAATTCAGCGTGCGAAAATAAAAGTCACGTATTTGATAAAATAGTCTGACATTTTTTAATACTTAACTTTGGACACAAGTTTGAAATTGAAATGTATGTGTCCACGACACATAATTGAAGTTTTAATGGACGAATATTGGGAGGCGGCCGGTATTATTACTGTACATAAACTCATCATCCTAAAAAAATCAAAAGACCAGTAGTGTCAGAGAAGCTGTCATCTAATCACTTTCCGATCCATCAAATTCCGTTATAGATCGATCCATACTTCTCCTCCAGCGAAGAAGAGGAAAACAAAAATGGCGGTAGACTTGTGCTCAGACGACTACGGTCTGGGCGCGATGAGTCCCAGGATATCATTCTCCCACGACATTTCTCAAGCTGACATCGTCCCCGTCGAGCAGTACGTCGTCCGGTCGGGCACCTCATCCTCCAGCATTGATTTCGATTTCTGCGTCTTCCGAGAATGTTTCGACCAGCAGCAGCAGGATTCGCTCACTACCTCAGCCGACGAGCTTTTCTTCAACGGCCAGATTCTCCCCATCGAGATCAAGAGGAGAATCGCGCCGCCGCAGCCGCCACCAATTGTTCCTCCTCCCGCGCAGCAGCCCCCGCTTCAAGGAAGAAAGAAGGAACACCGATCGGCGGCAGGACAGACCAAACCGCCGGAATCGCTAGCAGCAGAGCACTCGTCGGACAGGCAGAAGCAGAGCAGCAGTTCGTTTTGGAGCTTCAAGCGTAGTTCCAGTTTGAATTGCGGCGGAAGTGGCGGCGGCGGCGGCGGATACGCGAGAACTTTATGCCCTCTGCCGCCGCTTTTATCGCGGAGCCATTCTACCGGTTCTGCTCCGTCTTCATCCCACATCCCCAAATTGAGAACCTTATTTTTCAACAAATCTTCTTCCGCGAAACAGCCGCCGCAGCCACACCATCCCACGGCCTCTAATAATCAAAAGCCTCCCCTGAAGAAATCCCTGCAGGCGGCGGGTGCTGGGAGTAGTAGCAGCAACTGTTACCCCGGCAACACCGGGGCGGGGGTCAGGATTAGCCCCGTCTTGAATGTCTCTCCGGCGAATCTCTTTGTGGGCATTGGTTCCATCTTCTCTTTTCATGGCAGCAGAGATCATCATAGTAATAATATTGTTATTAAGAACAACAAGAAGAAGTGATATCCCGATCCATCTTTTGCTTAACCGCTACTTAAGCTATCATTGATTTTCCCATTATTTCTTCCAATTGTTCAATATTCTTCTTTTCTTTTGGCGTTTAATCATCTAAGATCCACGAAATTGCTTATTATTCTCTTATTTCAATTGTGTGTGGAAGCTCTATTTCACGAGACTTGAATTCAAATTTTGCACATATTTTTTGTGTGTTATTACGAAGGATGTGATTTTCAGGTATTAATTAATGTCAGATCAATTTAAATATTCTTCCGAGATAATTAATTTTATACGAGTTCGTAAAAATGGATCGGAGTGGAACGAAATGAAAAAAATAAAATAAAAGAATAAAATGTTAGTGGTAAGTAAGGAATTCATTAAAGTTGATAAACACTAGTGTTTGAGATCGACTTTGAACTATGTCCAATGAAACAGGTAGAGTGACAAGACTTGATGTGATTTAGAAATCCAATGATTATCAAATTTAATATTCCCTCCGTCCCTAAATTATCTTCAAACTTTCCTTTTTCGTCCGTCCCAAAATTATCTCCTCTTCCCCCTTTTAGCAAAAAATTTGTGGTTCACAACCATTCTTACACATTCTTACACATTTCTCTCTCCTCTGCACAACTCTCCACCACACAAATCCCACTATCTTAATAAATGTGCCCAGCCGAAAAGGGAGAAAGATTAGGGACGGAGGGAGTAGGTAAATTATTGCAAAACGATATGAAGGGAAAACAACAACAACAAGGTTCTAGTGTGAATTAAACTTCAACCATAATATGAAATCACCAACCTCACATCTCTAATCGATACAAACAACACTGAAATGTGATCTCAAATAGTTTAATTTTTATAAGAAATGGTTTATAAGGAGTCATATCCCCCACCACGGGCGGAGCCGGGGTGTTTAGTGGACTCCGAGTATAAAACTCTAAAATTCATTCAATCTGATATATTATGACTCTTGTAACTCATTACAAGTATAATATTGATTATATTTTCAAAATATAAAAATAGCGTACAATTCACTTGTTGAAGGTAAGTCTCGTAGATCCGAAAGTCCAATACGAACTTTGGATATATAAGGAATTGATCAGAATCAAAGTGTATAACAAAATATAAAAGATGAATCCACTAATACCCAAAAGCCCACTTGTATTAATTAACCCGTCTGATTACAAGGAAACTTCCCGATCGGTAGGTCGGAATAGTGCTATTAATACAGGAAACAAGAGTAATAATGCTATTCTAGAGCTTGAGTATTGAAATGCTAACCCTTACAATGATTTTAAACCTTCTATTTATACTAATGGAGAGCATGGGCTCCTCTATGCTAATTGGCCGTTGCTCCACCGACTTGATCACTCATGCTTCCACTTGCTGATGTCACAATCCGACATTAATTGCACATGGCCACTTGCCGGTTGCTCGTTGCTCGAACGGGATGCTGGACCTTGCGGATGACGCTGTCAAATTGGCCCAAGTATGATATATGGTCCGAACTCCGTTCGATATATCTTCTTTCTGGGCCGTCCTTTACTCGGACCGAACCCCGTTCGGTATGGATTCTTCACTGGATCTACTCATCATAGGGTAATGGACTCATTGTTTGGGCCGGGTATTCTGGGCCTTTTTAATCCGGGTATTGGGCCTCCGGGTCAATATCCCAACATCACTCATTAGTCGTTATGTGACATGACTCTAGGTTGACATGGCAAAGACAACTTATCTTATAGCTACCAATGTTTGTTCAATAGCCGATTTTTTTTCTCATAATAAATCTTGATATTAAGCTGGGTGAGTGGGAAAGACACATGGTCTCATCTGAGACAGCAACCGATGCGGAATCTCTTTGACTAAACACGTATAAAACCAATTTATAGTAGTAAATATGACATGTGTATCAAATCTATATCTCTTTTGATCTCATTTAAAATATAATTTATCTTAATTACATATGAAGCACTCAACGCCGGTATTGTTTAAAAATGATCCACCGTTTTATTCTGTATATAGGTGACTTTCAACCCCCCTAGAGCGTTTTTATGGCTCCGCCACTATCTCCCACTATCACTGTCAGTAGAGGTGGACAGAAAATCCAAATAAAAATCTAAGAAAAAGGTCAAATAAGTCCTACGATTTCCAATCTGCTACTTAAGCCCCTATACAAAAACAAAATCACATATGTACATTTACTTTTAAAATAATATCACTCAAACCCTTTGACCTGATATAGCAAGTTATTTTTTAAAATTAAATTAGGAATATTGATAAAGCTTACAAAAACTCATATAAATTTGAATAAATATTCTAATAATAATATAAAAATAGTACAAATGTAAAAAATAGATAAAATTTAAATAAAATTAAAATAAACAAATAAAAAATCATAAAACTGAAAAAATAATGTGAAAATAATAAAAAAAACAATGAAAAATTATAAAAGCTTTTAAATAAATATAGAATACACACATATTTTAAAAGTTAAAAAATATTGACTTTGATATTCTGAAAATTTTCACAAGTTTTGTATATAATTATTAAAATTTTAACAATTTTTTAGAGTTTTTAAATATTAAAAACCCGTTATTACAGGTCAAAAACTGATTAAATGGTCATATTGATCAATTTTGTAAAATAGGTGTACTTTTTAGATACTGTTTTTACTAAGAAGCTGTTCTCTTCGTCATATTCTTATTACTTATTGCTTATTCTTAAATCAGAAAGATTCAGATCAGATCAGAAACATTCAAACAAGATCAGATCATAAACATTGAGATCACATCAGAAGCATTCAGATCAGATCAGATCAGATAAGATCACATAAAAAACATTCATATCACAGACATTCATAGCAAATTGGAAACATTCTATAATTATCGATATTATTATTATTTTATTATTATTATTATTATTATTATTATTATTATTATTATTATTATTACTATTATTACTATTATTACTATTATTACTATTATTATTATTATTCTTATTATTGTTATTATTGTTATTATTATTATTATTATTATTGTTCTTATTGTTGTTGTTGTTGTTATTATTATTATTATTATTATTATTATTATTACTATTATTACTATTATTACTATTATTACTATTATTACTATTATTATTATTATTATTATTACTATTATTATTACTATTATTATTACTATTATTATTACTATTATTATTACTATTATTACTACTATTATTACTACTATTATTAGTACTATTATTAGTTTTATTATTATTACTATTATTATTACTATTATTTTTACTATTATTATTAGTACTATTATTATTATTATTTTATTATTATTATTATAATTATTATAATTATTATTATTATTATTATTATTATTATTATTATTACTATTATTAATATTATTAATATTATTACTATTACTATTATTATTATTATTATTATTATTATTTGATGGATAGTCTACCCAGGGGTTTGTATACGAAGGGTTAGTGCGAGGAGTAACTAGAGAGAAGTCAGAGCAAAAGTAAGCAAGAGAGAGTATATTGCTGAAAATGTAGTGAGCGAGTTTAGCTTGGTTTTCAAATGGGAAAAAGGGGCGCTATTTATAGTAGTAATAAATTCCAGATAGGGACACATGTCATCATTCTGGTGGTCGAGGGGTCACCTCAACGGGGTGGCACTGGCACTCGCATGTGGCCGCATTAAATGCGGTGGTTGGATGTGACGTTTGTGCTTGGTACGTTGATCCAGCGCATGTGGGTGGGAGATTCTGTCGAAGGAAGAGCTTTCGGCCGTAGATGATTGACCGAAGGCTCTTCCTTCCGGGGGCACCCTAGGTGCCGAAGGCTACTGTTTTTACTGTCTTCTCCCAGTGTCTTTGTATGCTGAAAATAGCCTTTCTGCGAGTATCTGGAGGCTTCGGCCAAGGGGCCGAAGGCACCCCCAGTGTGCTTTGTTGGCTGCTTGGTGCTTGGAGCGCTGTGATTTGGGCCTGTTGTGCTTCCGGGGCCTATTGGGCCTTGGCTAGAGTGGCAGAAGTCTATGGGCCGGGGGTCCCTGGGCCATATACTTCATCACGAGTCCCTCACTCCTTTTGCCGAAAGGTACTTGAGGGAAAATGAGTAATTTGTGTTTATCCTCTGCCGTTGTTCCGTTGTAGCTTGTAAAGCTGTGAGGAGTTTTCTGTTTGCATGTTTTTGCCGAGGGCAGTCCCTCAGTTAACTACATTTCGGGACTTGAGGGATCATGTTTTTCGTTGTGGTTTTTTTTGATATTTTTTGTATTTTGAGATTTTCCCCGAAGGGGTTCTCCAGTCCCCCACTCCTTGAGGCACTTGTAAAGTGGTAAAAAGGAGTAGAGTAGTGCTTGTCTGCAGTATGGACCCGAGGGGTGACGCTTTTCGTTTCATTTTAGGGGGATGCCTCGTTAAAAACCTCATTGGAAAAAACCATGTGGGAAAAAATTCCAATGAGGGAAAAAGAGTGCATCGAATTCCCCCAATGATGAGTCGAAAAGGTGAAACCCTGGTCTGAAATGAGTGGCAGTATTCTTGCCGAAGGCTATCCTTGTCTGAGGGCGCGTGTGTTGCTTTGCCGAAGGCTCGCTTTTGATATCCTGGGGGATGCCGAAGGGGAGCCCTCAATTCATGAGAATGAGGGCGCGATGAATGTAGGTGATATTTCCTGTGTTGTCGAGGGGTCCCTCGTTACGTGGCCGGGGGCAAGTGTTGATGAAGGTGTGCTTCCCCGGGGGTTACGTGGTCCTCAATGTGTTTGAGGGATGAGTGTTCCCGAGGGGTGTGCCCGTTGTGAAGCCGTGGGCTTCTGAAGGAGTGAGCCCGAAAGCACTTGTGATGTAGTATGGGGGGTTCAGATCGGGAGCACCTCTGGGTAAGTGTACCTGGGGGCTCCTCTTGATGAAGTGGAGTGAAGGAGACAACCCGGGTTCCCAGAATATAGCCGTTGTAATAGAGCCGTTGGAAGATGTAATGTCGGAAATATAGGTGTTGGAGGGGGGCCTCCACGTGGTGTGCGTTCGTTGGCTGCCTGTGGGCGGGCGTCACCGATTGGGCAACTCGACGGTTTGTAATGATGGTTTTCCATAGGGGCCCAATTTCCGGCCCAGGCTCGGATCTGGGTGCCTATAAATACCCCAAGGTCTGAGCTCTGACCCTTGTGCGATCTCATTTGTAGCGAAGCTCTGGCCATTTGATTTCTAGAGAGAGAAACACCCCTCAGATAAAAT